CCCGCTCGCTGCCGCGGCGCGCGGTGGCAGAGGAGGCGGCCGCGCCGAGGAGCGGGCTCCGCGCGCCAAGCAGCGGGCTCCGCGCGCCGCGTCGGCACCGGGAGGAGCGCGGGGCCGAGGGCTGCCCTGGCTGACGGTCACTCGGTACCGCGGAGCCAGCGGACAGGGCTGCCCCATGGGCGACAGGGGCTCTGGGGAATCACAGAGCCATTACGGCTGCACGAGACCGTTCAGGTCRCAGCGTCAGGCTGCACAAAGCGGGCAGGGAGGCTGAGTTACGGCTGCTGCGGCACTGGGGCGCAGCGCGGAGGCCGCCGCTGACATCACCGACTAGACATGGTGGGGACGGGGGCAGCGGGGGCAGCGAGCACTGCTGCGAGCGGGGCAGCCCTCAGCCCTGCTCAATGCCGCTCGCCCACGGGCCTCCTGCCGCGGCTCTGCCGAGAAACGCGCTGCCCGCTCCCCACATGTCCCCCTGAGCGCCCGCTCCCCGTGCGTCCTCCTCGGCGCCCGCTCCCCGCGCGACCGGCCCATGGCCCCCACGGCCCTGCCACCCCGTCTCATCCTCCCGCCCAACCTCTGCCAGGTCGTCTCCCCTACACGGGCCTGTTCTGGATATTCATTTATGTCAACGCTTTGAGAAACAACCTGTTCATTCTCATTACGACACTTTGCCTGCTAGCTACTGCTTGCATTGCATCTTGGAGCCATAAAAACATACCAAGAAAAGAGAACACCTAACAGTCGTGCCAGTCCCTGTGATCCAGCCGTTTCTGTGCACACCTTTCAGTAAAACACAGGCTTAACTTTACGGSAGGTAAGAATCTGGAGTTGTTACCAACCTTCTCAGTTCGTAGTTTTATCAGGCTGTTCCCACACGGATTTTCAGAAGAGCAGAGCCGCTGTTCATCTGAGCCTACGGATGCATGACTCTGGTCATAGACTATTCATCTTCCACGAGTACAACTTCACACAGATCTGTCAGGAGCTTTTACTAGACTGCAGCAGAAACCCATCAAAAAGTAATTTATTAACATTTTGAGGCTATCCGAAGGCCACATGTAATCAAGATTGGAAGGAAAAAGAGGCGGATGCTTTTTAAAAAGAAACAGAATTTGATCAGCCTTGAAACCACCGAGGCCAAAAGCCTCTAAGCAGCCACAGGAGGCTCCTGCTGCCACCTATTAAAAATAACAGCTCTGAAAACTGACATGCAAAAGGTGCAAGTTTCAAATCTCATATGCCACTGACAAATGATTTAGTCTTCAGAAACTTACGGGGTGATAAGTCAAAAGATTTAAAGCCCCGGATGATGAAGTCAGATGACTTTTTGAGGCACTAGGTTTTCATTTAAAAAAAAAAAGGGAAAAAAAAAGAAAAAAAAGAAAAAAAAAACAGTTCACATAATGGCCTGCAACCAAAATGTTTGAATTTCAGATAGCAAAAGATTCCTCATCTGTTGTATTTTAAATTTAATCTCCTGGTTTTGGCCATTGTTTTTGTATCTGCGGGGCTGGTRGAACAAGGCTTGCGCAGACACAATCAGTCACTAGGTCTTTCTTTCATCATAAAAGCTGAGGAAATTGTCATCACCGCATTAAGGTCTAAATGCCACTTAGCTGAGATTTACCAGGTGGAAGAATCAGAAATGKCCTTTGCTCAAAGTTCAATGCTTTCTCCAAAGACACTGATTTTTTTGTCTTCTTCCTCAAAATGTAAAGGTGTTCATTTTTCATAGCATATAAAATCAAGCATTCTTTCATTCCTGACCCATATATATAGTCAGTCAAGTAATTATGAATGAAAATGCCAGTTTGCTTATACGAACTGTGCTTATGACAGAGATTAACTTAAGAAATTTGTACTCCTGGCATTTTATTAATACTGTTCTGCTGTAAAATTCCTCAGGCAACAGGCAAAATAATGACTTAAAACTTGAACAGGATAATTACCTTACCATGCAGGCATGCTGAAGAGAGTCAGCTCGGGATTTGAAAATACAATTTGTTAGGACTTTATCCTTTAGAGAAAAGGGTGTGAAGCATTTACAATTACTTTAATTTATTTCCATGACATTTTGGTTTAGATCCAATCAATTCCTAGTACATTAAGGAAATTTGTGTCATTATTCAATAACAGAATTTAGCTATTCAAAGCAGTTTTTCTTACCATTTAATTTTAGAAATGTAACTCTTCAAATCTTAGTAGTGAATTTCTTGTCATGGTCACTTTGATTTATACAATATCTCTCTTGCATCCAGTGTGCCAAGATGCTCTGTGGGTGAGAGAGATTTAGCACATTGAGCCCTCCCCACTGACTCCTAGCTTAAAGCACAGTGTTCCTCCAGAAAAGAGCCTATAAGGACATATAGAAAGATGAGTCTAAATGCATCTCTAAAGCAATTGGACAAACTAGCAAGACAAGCAGGTAGCAAATATTGTATTTCCAGACAAAAAGYGTTATTAACAACATTAATCCATAGCTAAGGTCAAGCAGGAAAAAAGCTACTAAACAAGGAGCCATTAAAAGCAGCACTATGCAGTCTGATAGTTAAGAGAGCCTTCCTATAAAAATAGACTTTGGAATTAAAGTTAATATTTGTCTAGGTAATTAAGCTCTACTATGACACGGTTGTGTTCTATCAGAAGTGGCAGTATCTCACATGGCACTGCRTTCTGATTCCTGGTAAATTTAAACAGAAGGTTTCAAACAGTAACTGATCCACTTTTTTATTTTTTTCTCCCATTTAGTGCAGTTTCCATCTGTGCAAAGTCTTATTCTGATAATGTTCATTTCAAAAGGAGTARTTGCTATTATATCAACAAGAATTTCAAACAGTTATGGAAGGCGTATCTGTAGTGAACCAAAAAATCTGTCTTTGAACTGCACTTCCCATGGGAACACACCTGAAAGCAGTGCAGAAAAATCATCTGCAGAAAGTTGCACACAAGGCACTCGCCATGTTCTCCAAGAAGCCCTTTACAGAACCCACCACTTACCACTCACTGCAAAAAGATGATTTATGGATTTTCAGTAACAGTTAGCATGACCAGACATGACTTTAGCATTTTATCCACAGCAGAAAAAAAAAGGCGGCCCTGCTTGTACCCCATCGTTCTGAAAACTTGAATAGCAAAGCAGTGCACTTTTGTATTYAAAGAAAAACATATGGGTAACATTTCCCATTTCCAGTATCACCTGTTTCACTTGCACTCTAAAATGAGCCCGGGGTCCCATGCCTGTCACACGGGGCACCAGGGCAGTGCCCAGAGCACCGTGCACATCCCGGAGCCTCCCAGCTGCCCGTCTGGCTGCTCCCGTAACCAGGAATTGATGGCACTGCTGCAATKGAGCCATCAGAGACAGGCACCTCCTGCACAGCTTCCAGGTTGCRCTCACTTAAGCACTGATAAACGAGCACCCAGCACTGTAAGCGCAAAACAAGACCATAAATACTCCATTTTTAGTTAAAGAAGCTTCAGATAACGGCAGTATCTTGTCCTTTCCAATATTTTATGCATGCTTTCAACTYCTGTCAAAGATGTGATGTGCAAGAGTGAAAAGGGGCTTCAGGTAGACTTAAACTCATTAATTTATTTAAAACAGTCATCCATCCTGAGCAAATATTGCAACATCCTGCTCTGGATTACACAGAAACTCATTGCTGAACCTCAAGGATTTATAGCAGCYGGGTCCTGCATCCACTGGAGAGCAAGTGGAAAGCGGAAACCGCCTGCACCTCTTACTAACCGGGGAACTTCACTGCAACGGCCTTGAGGCTGATTTTTAATCATTCTGGTTTGATATTTGCATATGCAAACTAATCCCAGATCAGGTCCACGCTGGCTGAGGACAACCGAGGAAAGAAAACAGCATCCAGTTGCTCAAGGTAATTGAGAGCCTGTATTTTAAGCTGCCGCTTTGGTTCATCAACCCCCCATAAGCAAACACTATTCTTTTAGGCACTGAAATTAGTTGGGATGCTGCTGCTTACAGACTGCATTTTCTTTCCTTGTTCTGCTACAGCACTTAAAAAATGGACTTTTGTTTCACTTGTTATTTTTTCCCCCCCTCCTTCTTTCAAAGCAGAGAGGAAAACTGCACRTTGGGCAAAGCTCAGACTACAAGCAGTAGATTTTCACTCAAGAACAAGAAATTTCAGGTTCTATATGAAAACTTGCATAAATTTTCAAATAACACAAAATGTTAGACCCACCAGAAGGAAATCTAAGTTTTGTTTCATTACTGTTGTACTGTAAGTCTTAAATAATTTATTAACACTTATTAAACATTAATARAGTTCAGCTATATCTAAATGCTCAAAAGTAACCAGAAATTACATTTTCTCCTTTCTGTAAAGCTAAAAAATGAACTCTGTATTAGTTTAACACAGGCTTTTTGAAAAATAGTTTACATCCTTCCACTGAACAAGGACATCTACTCTTAAAAACCCTGCAAACATTTACACATATTATTTATACATTTTTAGGTCTCTGTTCACTTTTATATTTTATTTAGTTCTATTTCCTTCACAAAGATCAAAGAACAGTTAATTGACCACTTTCCAAAGACAAATKAGGAATTTAATATCAAAAAGCCTGCATTTTGCCCTATGCATATAAAAACATATTCATGTTCACACCCTTGCAATTAGTTTGCCCTTAAAACTTACAGTAGTTACTTCTCATTTGAATTGCTACATAGTCTTGATCAACTCCTAGAATATTATACAGTAAGAGCAAGATTACTTAGCTATTATATTTTAKGTGGCAAGCATAATTTTATTTATTAAATCTACTACTAGAACCCTCCTTAGTGTTGTGCAGTCAAGTGTGCTAGAATTTATATCCTGTAAAGCAAATAAAGAGAATAAATACAATCAGGCTACATTGTTTCCATCAGAATTTTTTAATTGTATTCCTACAAAATCATGTAAACATTAGCATACAGATCCAGAAAAATCAATATAATATGATGCATAAACTGTAGGTTTAAAAGAACGTCAACACTTCAACAGTTTATAAATTAATATATACAGTCATGGGTACTCATCATTAGATAAGAACACCTCATAACTAACACCTCACAGCTGAGGAATTTAGGTGCAAGAGCCACCGAACGGAGAGGTGCTCTCACACCAAACTTGATTATGAGGCAACATTGCAATCCGAACGACTGCCCAGCCTTGCTTCATATTAAGCATTCAGTTTAGCTGCTAAAAGAAGTATAAAACAATAGTTTTGGTAGAAGTTTATTTGAAATCATATAGCAAAGATCTCTAATGTAATTAAACCAAAAGAAGAGGCTACTCCAGAAACCGTTTTCTAGAAGAACCCAACTGAGTTTGACTTGGGTGCACAAAGGCCACCGGCAGCTCCACTTCACACCGTTTCCTCAAGAGCACCAAAATAACATCCCTAGCTAAAGAAACCTGTCAGGTAGTTTGAGGGTAGCAGTTGCAGGAACAAATAAGATGCAGAGCGCAGATTAGACTGATCCAAAATCCCTGCTTCCGCACTGATGCGGCCTTCTGGGCAGTGCAGTTCAAGAGTGACAGGAATCTAACACTGTTGCTAAAATCTTAACTCTCGCCTTCCTTTTAGCCTGTCCCTACAACCATACTTCACAGGTAAAACCTATGGGAAACATATCYTAAAGAACAATTTAAAATTAGAGGCATGTTAGAAAATCTTCAGGTATCAGTGAAATTACGGCCTACGTACGATCACTAGGATTATCCCAGAAATACTTGATACTACAAAAGATCTCTTAACTTAATACACTAGAATATGATCTTGAGAGACTCTTTTCAGAGTTGCATGTATTTTTCCATTTCTAGAGGTGATGTAGAATTTTATGCCATCTTATTTGGTATATTTTTCGTACACAAAAATCTCCTCCCCCCAATGATGAAAACAAATATTGCACTAATAAAGATGTTGTTATTTACAAGAAAAGGGAGGTCATATCTAGCCACCTAAAGCTTTTTAATCACATTTTCTTCCAGTTGTTCAGAAACAAATTCTGTTTTGTTTATAGGAAGTCCTGAGCAGTAGGGTGAACAAGGATTGGTAAACAGCACCGTTTTCCCATTGCTTGTCTGAATGAGCAGGGTACATCTATAATCAGCRCTGCATCTAGAAACACTACCACAGTTGAACTAAACACCCAAATAAGAGCTTATCATAAACAGTGTTATTATTCCTTGCCAGAATCTGAGCTAATGCTGGAAAACCAGGAGCAGGAAAAATAATTTTGCTAACTCAGAGAATACAAGTCTTGCATAAAGGACCTGAAATCCTGTCCCAGTTTTTGCTTTGCTTTGTTATAATGGAAGCAGATGGAGGAAACTACAGCTCATAGGAATGATAGGAAGAAACTGCCTAGGCTGTTGTGCCACCTTCCAAGCACCAGTTTGCAAGCTGCCCACGCAGCACTAAAGCGACGCTGCAGCACTCGGAGGTACCTAAATGACCCCAGCTCTTCACTGTCRATTCCACCAGGGCAGCTCCAGCAGGGCACACGTCACAATCCCAACAGCTTCCAGCATTTAGTTATGTCACATTCCAGGCGTGGAGAGATTCTACCAGGCACGAACCCAAAGGCTTTGCTGATCCCAGAAGCGTAGCTCAGTGCATCTCCTGYGGCTGGCTCAGTCTGTACTGCTAAACTGGGCACAACAGCAACGACAGACCACACGGACAGGGAACAAGCAAACAAAACACAGACACAGATAAGGTGAAACTCAGCAATTAGGGCTCCAACTGCGGATCTCCTAACGAGGAGACAAACCTTCCACTGGACTGGCCCTGTACAGAGGCCTGGAAAAGTTTCACCTCTGATACACCTGAGGTTCTGTGTAAGCTATTGATCTGCTGCAGCAACATTCATTTGGTATTCACAGAGATGGTAACAGCTTGGTTTTGTTTTTCTTTTCCCCCAAACATCTTTTGACCTCTCTTCCTTGTTGCCTTTCCCATGTCAAAAGAGACACTAGTGCAAGCTCCAAGCAAAAGAGCTCATGCTGTTTTTCTCACGTATAGCCTAAGGACATTCCTCCCACCGAGGGGCATTCCCATTTCCTCAACCCAAGCCATTCTAGCTACATCTTATGCTTCTGCATGTATTTCCATAAAGGACTGAAATGAGAGTCCTTTTAGACACAATTAGCAGACCTTAACTCAAATGATATTGCCAGCAACGGTGAGCCTTRACTAGCTAGCCATTTTAAATTAAAGGAATGAAAAAGTTGATAAGAAACCCAAAATATGGTGGCAATCCTATGGAAGTAATAAGAATACTACTGCTGTCAGTAAGAACAATCATTACAATTCTTCTCTCTACAATCCAGCTCTTGTACTCCAGCATTAAGATTATGCAAGAAACCTAGGTAAGGTTTTAGGTAAGGTCTCCAAAATAAATGCTGAGGAACACAGGAAAATATTTTGACATTTCCCAGTAATTTCTTGACTGAAATGCARGTGTATCAAAACTCCCTGCTGGCATAATAACAAGGCATAATGCAAGCAAGATTTACCAGAGAAATCCTTCTCTATGCATATGAAGAAGATTTTCATGAATGAAATAATGAAACAAAAAATAATCTCTCTCAAAGCTTGATTTTTGTTTGGATGATGTACATAATACTACCAATGCAATCAATATATATTAAGACAATTCATAAGCAATTCAAACAATATACCAGTGGGAGGAGAAAATATTTTGATTAAACATACTCACTTTAATCCTCAAAGTACACTCCTTTTTCTTCTTCATCATCGTCATCATCAGTAGAATCTGCATAAGACTCAACGGTGCTGTATATGAAAGAGTACAGCTTGACTTCTGGTCCTGAAGTGGAACAGCTCCTGCACTCCTCGTTGTAGTATCTCAGTAAGAGCCTATAAACATCCCCTTCAAAACAAAGAGAAAAACATCCCTTTACAAGTTGAGCTCGCGCCGCACGCGCAGCTGCGGCCTGCGGGAGACGGGAGCCTGCTCCGGGCTGGCGCCTGGAACATCTTTTCCCAGGACAGTGGCAGGGGGGCCAGAGAACTGCGCGGGGGCACCCCGCTTTGCAGAGCTCAGGGCTCCCTGGGCCTCCTGCTCAGCTCTCTGCACCACCTCAGCATTGCCTTGCACACATGCCCCTTCCCAGTGCCTCACCCATCTCCCTYAGCTAGTCTGGGGCTTTTATCCCAGAAGTTAAGGCCACTGTAACATTCAACATTAACAGATAGAGAGCTTTTTCTGCATTGCTACTGCATAACAGTTCTGGCTGCTAATTCACCTTGTAGAATCAAGCCAAAACCATTATGAGACAAATCTACGTCAAGAATGTGCAAGCAGATCTGCATTTTTAAAGTATATTTCAAACAATACGAGATTATACTATCTTTGTAAGTCTTCTCTTTACCACATATACTGAGATTTTCCAAGCTCTGAGGCACAAATCCCAAAGGTCAACTGAGAAGTTTTAGTCTGCTTTAAGGATTTAGTTAAATCTTGTGACAAATTAATACTTCTCAAATGGCCCCGAATCAAAACAGCTCCTCACTTTGGAAACAGGAGTAAATAAACTAAGACAAATTTGATTGTCTTAGTTTGGTTCGGGACTTGACAATAGTTGTCACTGGAAAATATCCACTTAAGGAAGGATGAATCTCTTTGCTGCATGACAAGATTTCCTTATGCTCACCAACAGTTTGGCCCTTCTCACAGAGAAAAGTGTGCATGCTGTAAATGTCTCTCATCAGCTCCACATCTCCAAAGGTAAAATAGACAACATCACGCCCAGTCTCAGCAGCTGCCAGTATCTGTATTAAGGCTGAAACAGAAAAGAGACTATGGGTGAATATGGGATTCTGCTGCAGTCACAGGAGACAACCACCTCRCCCATCTGTCTACGGAAATACCTTGAAAATCAAGTGGTTTTCCCCCCAACCCCCCCAAGAAAGCACTGGCTATAGCCAAGCACACTGGCTATACCATGAGTAGGTGCTAAAGCATAAGAAAACACAGAGCACCATTTTACACCCTATTTTAAGGTACTGAGGCTGAGTCATAGCAAGAAAAGGGTAAAGAGCCACCATCAGCATGGCACAATCTCCAGTCTCTGCCACCCTTGAGAAGAAATGGTACAACCCCTTTTACTGAATGAGCAGCACAGAGTGGGCTTGTGCAAAGGGCTAAGTTAACTTCTATCTCCCAAGAGGAAATCTAAGCGTTGCAGCATCTTACAGCACATACAAGGTCTTCTCTAAACTATAATACAAGTATGCAGCTTGTAATATGATAGCTCACTCGGACCCATAGCAAGGGGCTCAAGGTGTCATGAATGCAATTCAGGTGCTTTAACTTCCAGCTTTCTTTCAAAGCCACTGGGCCAGGCTGCACCCCATGCTCTGGTGATGGCTGACAACAAAATTGACTTAGACTCTGTTTTTCTACATGGCAGAGAAAGAAGAATGCACCATATCCCAGAAATAGATTTTTTTAAGATTTATGGTGCGACACCGTCTCGGGTCCTGATCAAGGCGGGAGCTGAGCCAAGCTAATGACTCACAGCAACTGCAGAGGGGAGCACTGCCCACCGGCTCGCTCCCTTCTCCTTCCCCACCCACCTCCTACCTAATTTGCAGCGTCTCAGATACTCAGCCATCTCACCGAGCCAATTCCCTTGGCTAGGCTGGCAGGAAAGTTATACAACAGAGAAATAAAGGCCAGGTGATTTCTGCTACTTCAGCAGTTGAACTGACAGAGTGAGGGGTTTGCCAGGGCCTGGAGGAAGGGTGGTGGACAGGGTAACCAAGACCCTTGCAGGGAGCACCAAACTGTTGTCAGAGCCCAGCTCCTTCATCAGCCTTCAAGCCAATCGTACTGCAAGGTGGGAGTGTGACCTGCAAATACCATCAATCACATTCACTGCAGCCTTACCACAATCCAAATAAAGGGTCCCTATCAACTATTTAATCTCCTAGAGCTCGTCTGGTTTCAGATTATACAGACATATTTTCAATATTGTCCAATGACAATATTAATCAAATATTAACTTTATACTTACTGGGTAGAAAAAGAAAAAGGGTCATTTTAWATAAAACAGGGAACGTTCTACACTACTACTTGCTAGTGGAAATTATATGGAAAGCTGCTCATAGCTTAGCTCACATTTTTTAAGGGAGGCCTAATAAAATATTGCAGTCTTTAATGAAAAAACTCTTGTAAACCCATAGCTAAAGCTATAAATTAATGATTCACATGTGAAATTAATCTCAATCTGGGAATGATATTTTAATTAAACTACTGAACCAGCTGTGGATTTGGTAAAGCTTCAGTAGTTCAGTTTTTAAAGGGCCTAATTAACTAGCTTGCATAGGGGAACAGAATCTAACGAGTGTTCATACTCGCTCCAAACAAACACCGCTGCTTTGCCGCACACCAAAAGCGCCACAAAAATCCTGCTGCTGCTTCTGACTAGCTCCAAAATGTCATTAAAGGAGAGCCAAGCAGTTTTGGCAAGAATCAGCTTCACCGTCCCCTGGTGAGAGGCAGTGTCTCCAAGAGCAGCAGCTCAGCTGAGCGGGACCCCTCGCAACCCTTACAAGTTAAGTTCAGGTATGTACAAGGTGCCTCACTTCACATGGGCTTTGCATGTTATTCAGTAAAGCTACACTCTTCTCATCTTCGGACAACTAAACCTACCCTCTGCGAACTGCTAACTTGCCCCCTGCAATGCCCTGTCCAGCCAGCTACTATTTTTTGCCTTGGGCTAAGTGGGACTGTGGTACCAATAACCTCACCGTTTTCTAAAGTATCTCTAGAAATGAAAGATTCACRGTGCCCTATAAGTTATACAAGACTCTTCTCCACTGTAAAAGATTTGACCACAGTGAAGGGAACCAGTAAGAGAATTTGCAGTTCAAAATAACCCTATACAATATTTTAGGACAAAGGAGATAAGCACCTTTGGCACTTTTCTTACGGGCTACCTCAACACACTGCATCAGCTCTGGGGGTCTTTGTTAGTACCTCAGTTTTGAGCARTTCTTCTTGTACAATTCACATTCACATGTCGAACAAATGATAAGTTTTATAGAAGATGAGCAGTATTTTTAGCAGAAACCCATATGCTAAAACATACATATGGGGTACTACAATTCAGATCAAAGAACAGGTCTCCTGCAAATTAAAATGTTTATTAAACCTTCCTAATGTGAATCATTAATCAAATATGATCAGATCCTGCAATAAATACTGCTCCTGATATTGATGACATGAACTTGGCAATTCATTTTCTCTAATGGAAACCAAAAGACAGCTGTCATGAAATCAATGAGCATTGAGAGAGAAATAGATTCTCAATGAATAAAACACGTTCAGAAAGAAAACTAATGAAGCTGGTAGCCTGAAAATCATTCATCTGAGAACATAACCACCTAAAGCTGTTCAGAAAAACAAATTTTAAGTACTCTCCAGGGGGCTGACAATAACCAAAATGTAAATTTCTACTTACACTTATATAAATCAGCATATGGATTTAAGTGTCAGGATTCATCACTCCTTAACTTGATGGGAAAGGAGCCTGAAACGATGCTGGCGTGCAGTACCTGCCGCACTACAAATATTCCTATTAAAGGGAGGCCACGGGAGGCGCGGGCCAGCGGCTGAAGCTGGAGGGCAAGCAGTGGCCCCTGGGCTGTGGGGAGCCTCTCCAGCACGCGGCTGGGGGCTAAGCTGCCAGGCTGAACATTGGCACTGCGAGGGGGCGTGGGAAACTCTGCAAGTTAGCAGGTCCTCAGCTAAAGCAGCTTTGCAGAGATGGAAATATTTCAGGTTTCATCTGAGAGACTGGCCCAGAAAGCAAACAGATTTGTATGGCTGGTGATTACAATGATTATGCTCTTTTGTGAATTAAATCTGCAGATACATGGTTTTAAAATTTGCAGGATTATGGGTCCCTGTATACACGGCACTTCCTACCTACTACCTACCTTTAACTTTCAACTACACATGGCATGTAAAAGTGGTAAGCATTTTATTTAAGGTCATAGCCTAAAGAGGAGAGCTAATGAACCAGGTATGTAGATAGTGAAATTCTCCTTCCAATTCATAAATAAAAATTTATAAATACATGATGAACATAAATGAAAAATATACTCTTTWAAGGAGAAAAGAAAAGGCCTAGGAGCCACCACATATTCCACGGTACTCACCTTTCAGTCGGGGGTCCCCGCCGAAGGCGCCGCAGCCCCAGTTCCCGGTGGCGACGGCGGCGAGGTGCTGCGGCGGCGCTGCGGCACGCCAGAACCCGCAGTAGGCCTGTGGGCACACGCACAGCACCGCGTCACGTGAGCCTCACACGCACAGCACCATGCCACGTGAGCCTCACACGCACAGCACCGCGCCACGGGAGCCTCACACAGASAGCACCGCGCCACGGGAGCCTCACACAGAGAGCACCGCGCCACGGGAGCCTCACACAGAGAGCACCGCGCCACGGGAGCCTCACACAGAGAGCACCGCGCCACGGGAGCCTCACACAGAGAGCAAGCGCTACTACTGCTATAAGTACCTTACACTCCATACAGCCTTCCTTTAAACTTAACGTTAATTGGAGAAGCACTGAAGGATTTAATGCAAGAGATTTTCTGCATGTTCAACCAAGCTAAAAGTTAGATCAAAGTACAATCTCTAAGGCATTTCATGAAATTACAGAAAAGATTTACATTAGCCAAAATAGAGAGTGCAACTTTAACAGGAGATGATACCATTTTTGCTGCTTTTCAGCCCACTGCTGGACTGCTTTGTCTAGTATTTTTACAACTCTTGAATACTGAAAAGAAAATGCAAAATGGCATCCTAAAATATAGGCCTAATACAACAAATGAGGAAGGGGAAAGTCTGATGCGCACTAAGAAGTCTTGAGTAATGGCAACATTTCAATACATATTCCACAAAAAAAAAAACAAACAAACAAACAAAAAAAAAACCTCTGATGTTCTCATGACGGCACAAAGTTACTGAACATACCATCTGGCATGGATTGAAAAATCCACATCTTTCACCCTTGATTTGAGCAGTAAATTCTGACTTGTGTTATAATTCRGCAGTGTACCATGACTCAGGTTTGCAAAAGCAGCATTTACACAAGYGTCTACAAATCATCTCTTCCATCAGGTGCAGCTTTTTAAGCTCTCTCTAAAGGCAGGGCTGTTAGTGCGCTTGATGTCCAAAGCCCATKGTATAATACGTGTGGGCCAAGCAAGCTATTACACCAGCTGCTTTAAAAAATAATTCTTCAAACTCCATCCTTCCAATGACAGATACGGATTGCTGCTGCAGTAGGATGCCATTTTCTTTTCAGTTTTTATTTAACAAGTGTGTGTTTCTCAACTAACCGGGAAAAAACCCCAGGAATAAAAACCATCTTGTCAGAAAGAGTAAGAAAGTCTGCCAATCCTTGGAAGGGCTGCAGCAACAACAAAGAGAACACCTGAAGGAAGTATCCTCAGCATTTTTCACAGCAAATAAGGGGTAAGGCTTTCTTTAAATAGACAGTTTAACAYGGCTAATCACTTTCTAAAAAAAAGAAACAAGGCATTAAACATTTTAAGTAGCTTTAACTTAAGACCACAGAAATATGAAAACTTCTGGTGCAAAATTTTAGTAAAGCAGTTACTTCCATACGGAAAGAGGGAAAATTGTTCCTTTTGACTAACATGAATTAATCTGCTCAAGTTGTACACAGTTCTAAATGTGTGGTAGTGATAGGATTTGCAAGTGTGTGATGTTTACAGCTGGCTTTTTTTTTTTCTCTCCTTTTTCTTCCCCCTCTCTCCACACAGCTGCTCAATATCGTTCTCACAGTTAATGCTCTTTAAACCAACCAGACCATAACTTTTAGAGAAGCACTTCTTGCTGAAGACAAAGCTATAGGCTTTTAAATCAGCAGCTATCAAAACAGGTTTCATGACATTTATGAGTGTGATTGCAAGCCCAGCTATATATGTCATCTGTTCTTTTGCTTTTGGAAGCTGGAACTTCCAACTAGAAGAAAATTATTGCTAGGGAGAGGCTTCATTAGGCACTAATCTCATGGGGTAGCAAGGATAAAAATGTGACATCTTTTACACATGTACCTGCAAATCTGAAGTCAGACACAATGGGATTTCTTTCTCATTCTGAGCAGCTGATTTAGGACAATATTAATCTTGTTTTCCAGGTACAGGATAAAGCAGAAATAGAAGTCACCCTAACACAGCCGCCGTTTGAGCAATTTGGCTGACAGTGAGTGTCTGGTTCTTGAAGACAAATGGAGTGTGTAAAGGAGACACCATGTATGCTTACAGGAAAATGTAAGCATGCAAGAACAGTATTTTATTCCAGTTATTTCAAGCTTTTCCTAACATGTAACAAAGTAAGAAAGGGTCAAAAGAACCTCTGGAAACAAATGTGGTTAAGCTATGCCTGGTAATACTTGGTGCAGTTGTATTTTACAGCCTATGTGCATATACTTAGTTTACTGAGTCCTATCTTATTAAATTGCAATGAAAAACGAGAACTGCAGACAGATCATATATTCAGTCGAGTTAGAAACTTGAAGTTTATAGTAAGATGTCACTGAAGTTTATATTTATTTACACTCATTTTCAGTGCTAATTTCCTTACCAACCATAAAGAAACAAGCTGATGAAAGTTACTTCAGTCACGAAGCTCAAGTTTGAAAGCTAAATTAGTCTCTTATCAACGTACACCATCACTGTGAAGGAGAGGGATGGGGGAAAAAAAAAGAAGAGAAAAAGATGCTCTTTAAGGCGCATTCCCTRTCCAACTGGATGGCTGGGAAATACTAAGGATGGAATTTATTTAGATATGCATTATTACATTCTGCAGCTCTTGAAAGCATGGTACTTCAACAACTGTAGTAGTGTCTCCTTGGTTTTAATCCTGCAGATAAAACCGAAGCCTATTGCACCTCTGAAAGCAGAGGCGCTGCACAGCCCTCAGGCTTAGCTTGTCTTTAAGCCCAACCCAAATGCAGTCAGAGCCGTGTCAGCATCCTGGTGGCAGTGGCCCAGCAGGGCAGCAGTGCTGGGCAGCAGCCTCGGCGGCTCGCTGTGCTGCGAGAGCCTGCCCCGGGAAACACAGCCGCCCTCTTGTCGGGACACACAGTTTAAATGGGGAGTAACAGCAAAGGCCTTGAAAACACGGACACGAGTGGAAAGCTGAGGTCCCAGTGCTATAAGCAGCTCGCTAATGGCAATTACTGGTCATCGCAAAAGCACAGTCTTGAGAGGTGGAAAGGACTGCTTTTGCTTCAGGAAAATAAACAGCAGCTAAGCAAAGAAATAAGAATAAAACCCAAGTCCTCTGAGTAACAGGATAAACGCCCTACCACAAACGTGAAAGTAACCCCATCTTCATATGAGAGTACCTTAAAAATTAGCACAAAAGGTGCATGAAAAGCAAGGGACCCTGTGTTTGACATGTTAAGAGACATGCAGTATTGCTTCTCCACCTTAACTGGAAGACTGAGTATGATGCAGTAGAGTTAGGCATTACTYAGTCCTGTAGAAACACTGGGAGAGGACTTAAATTACATTTTAGAAGTAGGACAATGGAGAGTTAGAAATATGTATATCCCAACTTTGTAAATATTTTCTTAGTGTTAAAGAAAACACATCTTTGGATGGAGTCTCTAGGAGTAAGTGCTTCMTTTGAAAAGCTTGTACTTCAACATTAGAGGGAAAAGCCCCAAAGCGCATCTTCTATAAAAGACAATTAAACAAAAACATCCCTAGSTGAACAGTACAGAAATTCTGAAAAGGTACTACAAGCATCAGTGAAGCAGCCTTAGACTSTTGACTGCAATAAAAAGTTACTGGCCTTGTTGAGCTCTCTTCTAATTTTCTCCGGACCAAACTGATCAAGGAAACGTCTGAAATGAAATGCATCTATAGCAACGATTTCGGTGTAGCGTCGCTGCCATTCATCCCTAAAATTGGAGGGAGGACAAAAGGGGATGACAGCAAAATTAGTTGTTTAGTATTGGCCACACAAGCAAGGTGTAAAACAAGCAACTCCCTGCAGAGCTTCTCTCCTAATAGAAGGTGAAGCCCATAGCAGTCAGTGGAGCAGGGTTTTTTTGGAAAGTGGGGAGAAGGAGGAAGCAACAGCAGCAAAGAGACAGCAGGCTTCCCTGTATAAGTAAAAATACCCTGGCTATACTTCGAACATCACAGTAGAAATGTGAAACAAAATCTAATTAAACTGCACCATTAATTAACTACAAAGGAACACTGCAAGGTCAGGAAAAAGGCACTTTGGCTCTGTCTTCTTCCAATATTTGTAGGACAGTACACTGCATATATTTCAAAAGAGCTCATTGCTCCTCAGCTTGTCTTGTTCCCATAACAAGTGTATAATTCTGTGTATACAGTATAACAGCATTGTTGAGTAACAGAAAGAACTCGGGTCTTTCAATTGAGATTTATTAAATTATATCCTAGTTTGTCACGCAAGTGTCACTGGCAGCGTGACCGTTAAGGTATCGTTGTCACACTTCTCACGAGGCTTTTTCAGCCCACACCTTAGTCAATATGTTAACAAAATTTTGAATTAAAAGTACSTAGAGGTTGTTCGTTTAAGAATGACACATTGGCAGATATCAAAATTAGCATCAAAAAAGCAAAGAATATTGATGATTAACTTGAGGTAAATTACAGAAGACAGCGGGAGCAAACAGGAGTTTTCTATGAGGAGAAAGGCTAGAAAGTACTCAAGCCACCAATTTTTCAAAATTTTAGACAGTTACTTATTTCTTCAGCTGATATTTTATAGGTGAAACCTTACCTTGGAGTCTTATCTTCATGGCTTCTTGCCCACCGGTAGGTTTCTGCATAGCCTGTGTATTCACTGTACTGCTCAGTACCTGAAAGGTAAATAACATTCTCATTACATAAAAAGATTGTAAATATTTCTCCTCTTAGTAAATAATCTTTCACAGCACTCACTGCTTCTCTAAATGAACATGCAATGCTCTCAGGAGCATCAGCAGAAGCTGGAGCTTTCTATCTGCATAGGGATACAAGTGTTCCCATAAGCAGCACACGCTTCTTTTCCACAGATGACAGCCAGCATCCATCACGGAACACTGCAAACACGGACCTCTCACACACGCTGCCCTGTGCGCGCAGCACAGCTCCAAGATAATTCTCAGCTCTGCCACCCCAAGGATGGAGAGCTTCTCAACCAAAGGCCTTTCTGATTAACACCTGACTAGGAAAGAACGGGTGCCTTCCCTTCGCTGGGATCTTGTTTTTCTCAGATCCAGGTGGATGAAAAGAGGTTGCTGAAACGCAGCAAGAAGCAAGCTTGAGGAACGCGCCGGGAGAGCTTTCCGGGACGCAGTGACGGGCCCTGCGGCAAGGGAAGGGCACGCGGAGCAGCAGGCGCGGTTCTCAGCTTGCACGACGCAGCTGCCATCGCTAACTCTCAGCCTTCAAAACTGAAGACAACTCCAAAGTGTCTGACAGAAAGGCATATTATTAACCTTCAGCATTCCCTCGGAAATGCTAGCTGTAGCAATGCAGTGATAAAGAAAGAAATTCTTAAGCAAATCGCTTATATACAGGCACGCTCATGCCATGAGTCCAGGCTCACGGCATGACAAGTTATTAATTAGCACAACTCAAACCTAGAAGCATCTTTGAGGCTACTACCTGCAAACAGGATGATAAAATAGTCACTCTTTTATTCAAAACATAGCAACCCTGCTACATCACAGTTTAGCTAAGAGYTGACAAGACAGCTCTAGGAAACACGAGGAGAAAATATAAAAATACAAAGTGGTTTTGGTGAGCTGTACATTCCCACAGAACAGTTTTCTTTTTAAAAGCCTAACCCCAAACCCATAAAGCCGAAGAAAAGCCCTGTGGTCAGGCATTAACGGGTGTGAGAAAGTAAACTTAATAATTCTTTTCCTTTTTTCTTTTTATTAAAATCCTAATAATTTTAGCTATTACATGTAGTGTCCAAGCTACTTCTTCAATGTTTATGCCAAGAGCAAGAATGGGAGCATTTTAACTGACACATGCCTGCTGCAATATCCCCCTTTCACCCCATCTTGCCAGACATCAGCTCTCTGCTTCAAAACTTCGCAACACACAAATGTTTCAAGGAAATACTCCTAAGGAAAAACACCACAAGCTTTCCCCTAGTTTTGTGTTCACAACAGCAGACTTATTTTTGGTTGCATTTCAAAAGCAGAGGATTGCAGGATATACCTGATCTAGAAAATTTCAGCCCGAACAGGTACAGTTTGGCACAAGATCAACCAGGTGAAAACTGTTAAACAACTTCCTTATCACACAGTGGGACCTACTATGCCTATAAATCTAACAGCAAATTGGGTTTTGGAAAGACCTGTAAGCATCCAAAATAGATGACAGCACAACAGCATCTAACACAAGAGTCCTGCCTAACCATTGCAAAGATGGGTGAAACTAAGAACACAACTGCTTAAATTTAATCTCAGGCTTGCCATCTGTAGATAGAAAAATAAATGTTGAACTATAAGGAACATTTTTAACCTCAGCTGACAAGGAAATTTAAATGCTTGCTTTCAGCATAACATAAACTCTTAAAAATATTTAAAATGATGAATGTTTTCAAAACATTTTCCCTATTTACCCAAGTTCATTTTAACTTGCCAGTGCCCCTTAAAATCATGTGCCATATTATTAACTCATACTTTCTTTTACTAGATTTATTTAGAAGATAAAACCAAACTGGGGACACACAAACTCCCCTCACGGCTARTTTGAGAAGTTGCTACTCAAAATGAATGAGATGGTTATGAAAGAAAAGCAAACAAACAAACCAGAAACTTCACATCAAGACTTACCTTCCCGTTCCCCAAACTGTAATGGCAGATGACACAAAAGACAACTATGAGCAGCTTAACTATTCAGAAGCCAGTCTCTAAATCAAATTTTAGGCTATCGGCCTTCCCTAATATTTTTCTTGACTGAGGTAAAATTTATATTTATTGATATGTTTTGAAAAAGTGTTTGGGCAAATAGTAAGAAAAGACACACAAGAGAAATGTTCGACCTTTCTGACAGCCCTAGAGGAAACCATCTTGTAAAACTTCAGCTTATAAAAGCTGATTTCCTTTGGGGTCTAGCACGTGAAAAGAGAAGACAGTTATTAAGGTGTTGCATCAGGATAGATTAAGTGACAATCTCAGTGTTAACCTTGTTTTTTAAAAAGCTTGCTGTTTTCATTCATTTTTATGAAAGTACAGCTTCTGGTGACAAAAGCATCAACAAACAAGCAAATATATATATGAATCAGTAACAGAAACACAAGGAAATCATACAAACTCTAAACTCATGTCTCAAAACCAAGAGTTAATGAAAATCAATGGGCTGATGAGTGAAGCTCTGGAAAGAGGTCAGACAGAAACTGGCAGGACTGTTGCCTGTGAATCACAAAGTGCTGCTGCTTGGGGAACGGAAGGAACACGGAATGAATCAGACACGCAGACATTTCTGGTGAGTCTTTCTTCCCATAAAAATATAGAAAGGGAGAAGACAAAAAAACAAAAACAAAAAAAACCCAACAACACACACACCCCAAGCCACAAATACAGCACACAATCACACTTGCAGAATTTTAAAAAGAAGCTACAAAATAAAGAAGTCCACCCAAAGACAAAAAGAAAAAAATATATACATACAAAAAACTTTCAAAAATACATTTAGTAAAACATGCAGTAGCTACAGAAGCAGTGGAATGGGGAAATTGCCAGATGTTAGCACTCATCCATGTAAAAGGAGCTGCAATTATGACTAAAAATAAATACAGGCTTCTCAGTCTCCAGAATCTTACTTTTAATTTGCATCAATCTGTATGATGTTATGAGGTACCCAGGGATGKGGGAACACACACACAGTCCTACTAGCACTGCTGCTGAGCTAGAAAGTTCACTCTGGAGGCAGAGATAACAGCAGCACTAGCACCCACCAAAACGGAAGAACACTTGAAAAACACTGCATAGTTTTGTGCTTATTTGCCCAGAAAGTTTTGTAGTCATCATAGGCTGAGATGAGCAGACATTTATGGCCAGAAAGTAAGGGAAAGCTCCTCCTGGTCCCTGTTCTTCCACCCTTTTTCTTGGGCATAATCAACAAACCAATCCAGGGAGAAACAGTTTTGCCYCGGGCTGATTTCCAGCAGGAGCAGCTGCCTGTGCAGCCAGCGCCGGCCGTTGCTCAGACCCTAGCTCACAGGAGTCACAGTCCGCAGCTTTATCTGCCCTTAACCCTGCTTTTCTATGTGCAAACTCAGAAAAACGTCACCAATTCCCCTCAATTAAATAAATAAATAAATAAAAATAAAAAAGAAATGAAGAATATTGGTACTTAAAACCAGATGTATCAGAGCAAACATAGCAGAAATGCAGCCACTGGAATCTCCAGCATCAGGGCTCACAGGTCTGTAGGTAGCTGCCGTGTTGGAGAACTTGCCTRTTGCATGACCAGCCCCATACTCATTACAGCAGTGATCTTAGCCAGATCCCATGCAATCACAACGAATTGAATTTGTTTCCAATTTCTCAGGCTCTTCTGCAAATTTAAGCTACACAGTTATACCCATTAGGGCACGGAGTCAGGCGCAGCATAGAAAGAAGGTAATTTATCCAGAGGGTGGTGACACACAGCGGGGCCTTGGCCACGGACCGAGCTGGAGGAGGGCCAGCGATGAAATAGAGATGATGGCAGAGCCATTCCCATTAGAGTAGCAGAACATCTCATCATACACATTAATTACAAAACACTGTAAAAAAAGTAAAACTGAAAGAATTCTACCACAGTGAAAAAGTCACCTTTATCTTTTCACTGCAAATCTTTCTTTTTTTCCTCTCCCTAGGAGAAAGGAAGTTCTTTCAAAACATGAACTTGCTGTTTCTCCCAAGTAGCTGTAACACAGAYGAATAGCTGCGCTCTACTTTTACGTTCCCCAGAAGAGCCTCATGCAAAGGACAAAACTTCAATGTTAATTCTATTACAGTCTCATACCCATGGCAGAAAAGCCTGGCCAAGAATTTTTTGACTCAGTTTTTTAAACTAATYACAAAAGCCCATTTTTCAAAAATTTTTCATAGAAAGGCACAGAAGATTACCAAGGTTAGGACCGAGACCAAGAGATGCTCTGCCCAATACAACCGCATGCTCGGTGAGCAGGGCAGGGTTTGGAGGATCCAAGCTCGGGTTTGTGCCGTGCGTGCCGGCGAGGCGGGAGCGAGCGCTCCCCAAGGGCTCTTACACGGGGGCTGCACCAAACCCTCCGCACAGCCCTGCCTCGCGAGGCTGCTCAGGTAACTRAACACAAGAGTATTTTTATTATAGMAATCTGAGTAATATAAAGCATACATAATCTCTTATAATATTTGTCTAGAGGATTTCTCTGGTCAAATATTTCTTTAGAGCTGTTGCCTACAGTAAATAAATTATAGCCACTTTATTTTTCCGTCAGGAGGCATCCGGCTGCTCCCCACATTGCAGGGTGTAGAACAGACACACACAGCATTATCTGGGCCTCTCTAACCTTTTAGCAGTGAATTAGCTGTTTTAATCCACTTAGATGGATAATAAAACATTCCAAATGTTAAGACAGAGGTGGAAACAAAAGCCAAAACACTGTCAGTGAAGCACTGGACAGACAGCACATCTCCATGCACAGCCTCACAATGTAATCTGAAAAAGCATTTGGTGTAAAAATTGAGTTTAATTGGCAGTCAAAAGAAATATGTAAGATACAAGATAAATATTCTCAGATACATTTACTGACTTGAAAACTTTTTTAATAAATACTTCCTCCATTTCTTCCTCTGTTTGGTAACTAGAGGCCAGCTCCTCTTCTCACACACAGTTTTTAATCACACTGATCTCATCAAGCGTTCCTGGTTGCAGGGGGAACAGAAGCACCCCCTGCTTTCAGCACAACAGAAGCATAASCTAAGAGCTGGTAACTGCATCTTTTACTTACACTGCCCTAGGGTATCCTTCAGTTAGGGCTAAAAATGCTGAGACTTCCATCACACAATCATATAAATATATACGATAAAGAAGTTTCATGACATTTGACTGCTTGCTGTCATCTTTTCTTTTTAAAAAATTCCTCCACAAACAGAGACCCTATAGTCTTAGGAGGTGGGAACTCATTAGGAGTACCTTTAGGAGAAGGGTACTCCCAGCATCTTAAACATTTTGAAACTCATTTTGAAGTAGATCTATAAACATGCATGCRTGCGCGCACACACACACACAAGACATAAAACCAGAATGATACATGAAACATCTTCCACAAAGACTAACCTGTGATGATAAGACATTCATTGTGATCCAAGACTTCAGTGATGAGCCTAGATACAATCAGTTCTGGGTTAATTAAAAAGCGAATCTCTTCTTGTACTAGTCCTGCCCCAGTGACACCACCTCCAACAAAACGGTTTGCAAAATCAACCTAACAAAAAATATTCAGGAAGATTATAAGATAAATAAACACTGTAATATCCTTTCATTTAGCTAGGTAAATAGAGTCCCATACATATTTCAATACCATTCTGCTATAGTTTTGTTTAGCTACTATTACTTAAAAATAAAAGCAATAGGACAGTGCTTTTCATTTGTCCTTTCCTTCTTCCAAGACAATATAAAATTAGAAAATGGAGATACTATAAAGCAAAACAGAGTTGCATCTCAAATGCCCTAGATGCAAGTTTTTGTTGTTGTTGTTTTTAAAAGAAGAGCATATATTTAGGACTTATTTCAATAAATGCAAAAAAAAAGGAAAGAGCAAACTACAATGTTCTCCTCTTGAATTTTACAGACTCTAATTAATCAATTATCTTTTAACAAGCTTCTGCCCCTGAAGGGTGTTCAGCCCTTCAAGAACAGAACAAGCTGTTCACCCTGAAGCATTTTTGCCCCTGTATCAGCTGTTCTATACCTGGAAATAATTTTTTATGAATTCTGCTTGAAATGCACTTGTACAAGGCAAGTCATTTTGATCATTAAAGTTTCTGCCCAAAAGAATGCAGCTCAGGACTAGCTTTTGCAGCAACAATACRTATTTTGAAAGTGATTAGAGAGTAATGACAACAAGAAATGCTGCCCACCATTCAGGGCCCCTCAAATGCCTCTATAGGCCCTCATTACTCTTAAGGACACAGCTGAGCCTCCCCCAGCACCCTCTGTCAAAGGCAAAGAAGCTCCCCTAACACCACGGGATGCGGGGCCATTTCCAGCCTTGTCCTGTCCTCTGCCAACCCCAACCTGCTGACCAGACTCCAGCTCTGACCCCAAGGAAGTGACTCGTCACCTCCCACCCATCCAGGGACGGTGCCGTCACCGAGCCCGGCAGAGACGGTGCCATCACTGTCACTGTGCCCGGCTGCTGGCCCTTTGCCCGGGGCCTCTCCCTGGGGRAGCAGCCCCGCTTGTCCTGCTCCCTGCTGCAAGGAGGGTCCTTCGGTGCACCTGGACACTTGCTTTGCTTGATAAGACTTGGAGGAGCYGGGAGGGAAAATATCCGTCTCTTGGCAATATTTATTTCTACTGAGCGCTACTGAAATGCAAACAGTGCATGCAATGGCATAATTTAAACTCCTCTTTCCTTTGAAGTTAGAGATAGTTGGATTAGGGGGCAGGAGAAAAAGGAATACTGCTGAGCAATTGCTGAGTTTATAATGATTTCGGTGTGTTYTGGCTGCTTAGTTTTATAAGGCCATGAGATATTTCAAAGCTTAGGAAAAATACTGAACAAAACACCTGCGAGTGATGGTATCACTTGAGAGAGACCTCACAGTGATTAAACAGTGAGCACWTCAAGTTCAGGATTTCCCTGCTACTCCTGAGCAATTTTTGACCTATGCTACTTGGATGTCAACCCGGATATTTAAGCAACTTACTATGCTATTATTTGTCCTGCAGGAATATCTACAGAGAGCCCCCCATTGCCCCAACTGCTCCACAGGCACAAAGCACAACTGACAGTCCTTGTGAAAAATGTCTATTTTCAGCCAAAACATATAAAGTAAGTAAAAGCAACAGAAAAAGGAAAGATAAAAGATTACACAAACAAGTTCATTTTTTTTTCTCTAACTTATAAAGGGGATTTCTTCCATTATTTACACAGTAACTATCTTAGTAGAAAAATTTAACTTTCTGCTATTTCTCTGGAAGCCGCCTTTTTCAGAAAAAGCTCTCTCAATTTTCTCACCCCCCACCCCCT